AAATTACTAAAACATTAAAATAAAAAAAATAAATAAAAAAAGGAATGAAATAAAATAAGTAATTAAAGGCAAAATAAGTAATTTTCGCCACTAGAGGAGTTGTGGTCTTCATCCCCACAGCCGACGCAATCCGATGGGACTCGGGCAGAAATCATGTTCATGGATGAGCTAATGATTAACGTAGTAGAATGAAGCAGGGTGAGGCTGAAAGCCGTCGAAGCGAAACGAGGCCGCTGAACGAGCGTGACACAAGGCTCGAAAGCAGCGGAGCTTTTATTATGCCACAGTCGAGCACTTCCGCTCCTTCGTGCGTATGTGGGCAAAAAAAGCAGTGCTGTTTTATCATACTAGATAGGTTTGAAAGTTCTGTTATAATGCTACTCTGTACGGTCGTCACTGGTCTATTAAAACGCACAACATATTAAAGCGTCTTTGGTGTTTCCATGTTTACTACAAAACAAAACCGGAAATCGAGGGGTTATGACGTCATTGGCAGACGACACAATGACACTATTGACACGGTCCGTATCACTAGTTAAAATTGCTTATTTCTCTGGATTTAAACATTCTTCGAAACATTTGGGATAATGTAAGTACACAAGTCAGCAAAATATATAACACTGTTCTAGTGGTTTTTGGATATTTTAATAAAAAAATCTTACATATTGTGCCTTTAAAAGGATAGTTCACCCAAAAATGAAAACTACCCCATGATTTACTCACCCTCAAGCCATCCTAGATGTATATGTCTTACTTCTATCAGATGAATACAATCTGAGCTTTTAATCATGGGGTAATTTTCATTTTTGGGTGAACTATCCCTTTAAATTAAATATGAAATTAATTAAATTAAATGAATATAAAAATTAAATTTACAAAACTATAATAGTATCTCAATGATAGTAAAATAATACTGGTATTCAGTACCTTCAGAAGCTGGTCTTTGCTGCTGATGGTGGCCAGCAGGTTTTCTACAGCGGTTTGGTTCTCGGTCACTAGCCTCTCTCTGTCCTTCACCGCCTCTGACAGCATTGCCTCCGTGACCTTTAACCTCTGACTCATCTGCTCTGCGAGGTCACGACCCTGAGACTCTGACTGGCTCAGAACCCTATTGGCCATCTCCTGCAAAGCGAGGAAAAAACACTTTCACATCAACCAAATTCTGACTCGCGCCTGCACCAAAAACTAGAGTGAGTGTTGTACCTCCATGTCTCTCGTTTTGTTGTCTAGTGCTTGCTGTAAGTGCTGTATAATGGCGTCTTTCTCTCTCAGAGCCCTCTGAAGGTTCTGCTCAGTCTCATCTTTACATCTCTGAAGATTCTTCAGCGAGTTCAACAGCTGCTGCAGCTCAAGATCTCTTTCATTTATGAGAGCATCAAAACTCTACACACAAAGAGTCAGAGAAACCTTCAGTATCTGCTTCTACAGTAGCACATAAGAAACCTTTAATGTGAAGAAATGAAAACATTTACCAGTGCAAATTCTCTCTTTATCACACAAACACACACTCTTACATTAATAGTCTCCTCGTTGTGTGAGAGCAGGTTGTTGAGACGCTCCACATCTCTTTCTTTCTCTCTCAAGCTCAGCTGCAGCAAATGGATCTCATTTTCTTTCTCCTCCATGGCTGCAAACTTCTCATCCAAGGCTTGCTGCTCACAGACAATAAAGCCCACAAAAAACTCAAGTGATCAACATTTATGATATCTGGACTGACAACTGTGCTTAGCATTCTGCTGACACAAACAGAAACACAAATCACTGACATACGACCATCTACCTGGATTCATCATCTGAAGCAGGTTGTTTCTGGTACTGTACCTTTAAGATCTCTGCATAAATATAGAATAAAATAAAGGAAGAGCCACAAACCTCAAGTGCTTTCTCTTTCTCCTTCAGTCTTGCTCTCAGTTTAGCCAGCATGGGATCACCTTCCTCTTGGGTTTTGTTCTTCTCCAGATCTTTAACCATGTTCATATAGTCCTGAAAAAACAGGAATGAGTAAGCTAGCACAAGATGTTGTGTGTAAGCTGTGTGTGTGTGTGTGTGTGTGTGTGTACCTGCAGCTGCTTGTCTTTATGATTCAGGCTAGCTGTGAGTCGTTCTATGGCATTCTGTAGTTTCTGTTCAGCAGCACGGTTTTGTTCTTGCTGTTCTAGACGCTGCTGTTCTAGAGCGTTCTCTCTGTCAGCCAGAGCACCATTTAGTTTCTTCAATTGGTTCTGAAGATCCTGCAGTTAACAAGCAAAAGTGAAAAAAATAAATAAATAAATAATATATATATATATATATATATATATATATATATATGAAAATTAATTAATTATTATTAATAACGGTGAGTTCAACATTTGGTTCATCTGAGTATTTTAATTTATGAACCATGCAATTTTCCTTTCTAATGAAAAATATTTTAAATACTGCTGCTTATACTGCTTTATTTCTGCTTTTTGTAAGAAATAAATACTTTTTTGTTTCTGCATGTGTGTCAGTGCTACTCACGTTAATGGTCTTGTCTCCCTTCTTCTTCTGTTGCTGTAGCTGCTCCAGCTCTTGTTCTAGTTCTAGTTTGGCCTGATGAAGAAGGCACAGTTCTGAATCTCTGCTGCCAAGCACACGCTGCAGCCTCTGGGTTTCCAGCAGAGAAGTGCGAGCCTCTGCCTGGAGCCGTGACAATTCAGCCTGCTGCTCCAGGAAAAGAGACTGCTGGTCTTCAGCCCCCTGGAAAACACAGAAGAAATGTAATGCACACATTACACAAATCCTTCACCAACCTCCTATATGAGTGATGAGGAACAACTAAGTAGCTCCAGCTGTCAATCAGCTGTTCAAAGTCACCACTGAAAAGCGCACAATCACACATACCTGATATTTCTGCAGTTTGGCTTTATGAAGGGCCTCTCGAGCCTTAGCCAAAGCCTGATCCTTCTCCTCAAGATCACCAGATAGATCCTCAATCTGAAGAGAAAGAAATAAAGAAAGAGACATAATAGTAAAATCACATTTTATGGTAGTTTGTCATCACAATAATTTACTGCTCTGAATAAAATCTAGTTTTAAAGTAAAAAATTATACAAAAAAAAAAATCTTACATTTAAAGCCAACTGTAAAGTATTTGCTTTAGACATTAAAAAAAATGTCAAATAATAAAAGCTTTCCAAATCTGCATTATAAAACAATTTTTAAATAATTTTTATTTAAATAAATAAATAAATAATCAGTTTTAATGTTTGACTGGGTCACACCTCTTTCTCCTTCTCTTTGAGAACCAAACTGAGGCCCTGGATGGTTTTGTCTCGTTTCAGAGAGTTCTTCTTCTCTGCAGCCATTTCGATCTCTCTCTCTTCCAGCTCATCAGAAAGAGCCTAAACAGAAAGAGGACTTTAACCCTTTAACGCGTATGATCACACCAGTGTGATCAGTCTTGGCTGGTCCCTGAAGCGTTGTGAATTAGAACTTTCAGTGCGTCACGTCATCAACTGCTGAATTGAAATCTGCTTTCGTGCTTTGGCTGGCACGGAGCCAGATTGGACGCGGTGAGCGCTTGTCATATCACAAACAGTCAGTGTTTTCAACCATATAATGCTTATTTTAGGTTTCAGACATTTAAATACACATAAGTACTAGCAAAACCATACATTTACAGTTTGTAAAATACACGCTGATGTCTATGGAAACGGCAATAATGATCCTTACAAATATAATCTGACGACAAGTTTTTATATAGATGATTTTTTTTTATATAGAAGATATCATATACAGATTGTGTAGGTAACTATAAAGTTTATTCTGCTCTTCTCCCAGTTTACCGGAGACCTACTTTAACGTGTTTCGGGAGGAGAGGATGAATTTGCGTGTTGAAAATCCCACAGCTCGGATTCAGCATGAACTAACATGGCGGCGCCCATCACCTGGTTTAGATAAACTAACACGGTCGATATAAAAGTGTTTAAACTACCAAATAGATTTACTTGCACATATTTCAGAAT